CTAGAAGGAAAGAAAAAAATAAAGTTAAATATTTGAAGAACTGTTAATTAAAATTTCTCCACAATTTTTTTTTTGGGGGGATGGAGTCTTGCCCCATCACCCAGGCTAGAGTGCACTGGTGCAATCCCAGCTCACTGCAACCTCTGCCTCCTTGGGTTCAAGTGATTCTCCTGCCGATGGATTACATTTTCAAGTATCAAACCAGCCTTGCATCCTTAGAATAAACTCCACTTGTTCATGGTGTATAATTCTTTTTTGTTGTTTACTCTCACAGCCACAGTAGGTATAATTCTTTTTCTATATTGCTGAATATGTTACCTAATATTCTCCTAAGGAATTTTATGTTTGTATTGGTGTCTGTTATTTCTTTTAATTTTGCACTGTTTTTTGTTTGGTTTTGATATCAGGGCAATACTGCCCTTACAAAACGAATCAGAAAATATTCCCAGCCAAGTGCAGTGCTTCAGGCCTATATTCCCAGGACTTTGGGAGGCTGAGGTGGGAGGACTGCTTGAGTCTAGGAGTTCAAGACAGCCTGGTCAACACAGTGAGACTTCATCTCTACAAATTGGAAGGGCTGCTTGAGCTTGGAAGGTCGAGGCTGCAGTGAGCCAAGACGATGCCACTGCCCTCTAACCTGGGCAACAGAGAGAGACCCTATCCCAAGAAAAAAAAAAAGAAGAAGAAGAAGAGAAAAGAGAAGAGGGGAGGGGGAGAGGGGAGAAGAGAAGAGTTCCCTCCCTTTCTGTTTTTCTGGAAGAGTATGTAGAATTGACGTTAATTCTTTAAAATGTTTGATAGAATTCTCCAGTGAAACCATTTGGGTCTGAAGATTTTTTTAAATGGGAGTTTTCAAATCAGATACTGAATTTCTTTAATAATTATAGGGGTATTCAAATGATCTATTTCATATTGGATGCCTGTGGGAGGAGTTTGTGCTTTTCAAGGAATTGGTCTATTTTTTGGCCCACTGTTTGTGTGTGGAGTTGCTTGTGTTCTCTCGTTATCCTTTTGATTCTCAGGGTCTCTCAGAACTTGAAGAACATTGTGCCACTGGTCCTCACTATGCGTAACAAGAAATCTGCTGTCTTTCCATTTTCCCCTATGAGTAAAGTGTTTCTTTCTTGCCACTTTCAAGATTTTTTATTGTTGTCTTTACTTTTCAGAAATTCTACTATGATGGACTTCAGTAGTGGATTTCTTCATCTTGTTTGGCATTTGCTCAGCTTTCTGAATCTTTTAAGTTTGTCCTTTGCCAAACGTTTCAACCTGTAAGATCTTTGAAAAGCTTTTCAGCCCTTCCCTCTTTCTCCTCTCTTTTCAGGACTTCAACAATACAAATGTTAGAAAATTTAACCTAGACCCTCAGAAGGGAAGGGAATGGCACCCTTTTTTTTTTTTTTTTTTTTGAGATAGAGTCTCATTCTGTTACCCAGGCTGGACTGCAGTGGTGAGATCTCGGCTCGCTGCAACCTCCACCTTCCGGAGTCAAGCAATAGTCCTGTCTCAGCCTCCTGAGATTATAGGCATGTGCCACCACAACCAGCTAATTTTTGTATTTTTAGGAGAGATGCGGTTTCACCACGTTGGTCAGGCTGGTCTTGAACTCCTGACCTTGTGATCCATCCGCTTCGGCCTCCCAAAGTGCTGGGATTACAGGCATGGGCCACGGCTCTCGGCAACACCACCTTTTTACCACCAAGTAGGGGTCAAAGGTCGGATTCCCTACTTGCCATCCTGCGTGGAGGGCTCCTTCCTCGTTACTGCTGGGTATGATAAGAGTTCTGGTTCCCCATGTGGCTTCCACTGATTCTTCCCACTGGTTGGGAGGAAAAGGAGGGCCTCATTACTGCCCCACCCAATGTGGTCTCCACTAACACTCCAGAACCACACAAGGTTCCTTAGGGGTTTGTTACTGCCCAACAGGGATAAAAGTCCATGGTCCCTCTCTATTCAACTTTCTCTGGAGGAATAAGTTGCTCTCACTTAGCCTTTGCTAGCAGGCACAGAGGTAGGACCACAGTTCTTTCTGTCATGTTTGGTTGGCACTGAGCAGTTGTCTAAATATTTTCTGTCTTGTGCTAGGCTGCCCCTTTCCTGGTCCTTTGGTCAGAAGGAGCTGACTTTTGCAGGGGGTTCTGTCTGTACCTGTTGGTGTTTCCGGGTTGCCAGCTTCTTCAGCTCATAGTCTGGGCTACATGAGGCAAAAAGACAACCTGAAGAAATCACTACTGGGTCGTTTTCTGGGTCCTGGGTGGTCTGCCTTCTCTCTACCTTTCAGAGTGTTCTTATGTTACTGCATCTAGTGTCCAAGAATTTTAGATTTTAGGTGCACTTAACTAGAAGAATAGGGAAAAGAATGTCTACTTCATCTTCCCAGAAACAGGTGTCTCCAACCTTTAAGTTTTCATTTTTAATGATTTATTATCAATTCCTCCACACCTCCATTTGCTTCATTTTCTATGTACTATTCTATTTCTTCAACAACTTCTCAATACGTTATTCTACCCAAACATATAGTCTATACTTACTTATCCCAGAGCTTCTGTGGCCTGTTTCTTATTTTCCTAGGACTTTGCTTTCCTGTTATCCTGGGAATTATCTTTGTTCCTTTCCTGGCAGACCCCTTGGGCTATGAATCCATGTTTTCCTCTTCTTGGTTTGCCCTTGTGTTTTGTTCGATTTTGTTTCTGAAGACTGTGTCTCATGCTGTTGCACAGGCTGGAGTACAGTGGCGCCATCTTGGCTCACTGCAACCTCCGCCTCCCGGGTTCAAGCGATTCTCATACCTCAGCCTCCCAAGTAGCTGGAATTACAGGCATGTGCCACCTCACCCGGCTAATTTTTCTGGCATTTTAAATAGAGACAGGGTTTCGCCATGTTGGCCAGGCTGGTCTCAAACTCCTGGCCTCATCTGATCTGCCCCACCCTTGGCCTCCCAAAGTGCTGGGATTACAAGCGTGAGCCACCTCACCCAGCCTCCCCTTATATTTTGATGCAGCACATCCTCTGGTAACTTCTAAGAACCAGCTTCTGTGAGTTGAGGTTTTACAGACCTGTCTAGTCATCATGACAGGATCCTTTCAATGGGGGGAGTCATGTCCATCAGTCAATTCTTCAAAATATTCTTCCTTTACTGTCTTAATAACTTCTTCTCACTCTTCCCTTCATTCTTTATTCCTGGGAGTCAGATGTTGGACTTCCTGAATTGATCATCTAATTTCATTTCTCTGTCTCATCTTTTGTTTATTAACCTTCTTTGTCTTTTGAATATTCTTTCTGGGACTTTTTTTTACTTTTATCTTTCAACACCTCTACCTGAATTTTTTAAAGATACATAAATAACATAGTTGTTTTGCTTTTTTTTTTTTTTTGACACAGAGTCTTACTCTTTCACCCAAGCTGGAATGCAGTGGTATGATCTTGGCTCACTGCAACCTCCGCCTCCCAGGTGCAAGTGATTCTCCTGCCTCAGCCTCCCAAGTACCTGGTATTACAGGTGCCTGCCACCACACCCAACTAATTTTTGTATTTTTAGTAGACATGGGATTTCTCCATGTTGGCCAGACTGGTCTCGAACTCCTGACCTCAAGTGATCCGCACACCTCGGCCTCCTAAAGTGCTGGGATTACAGGCGTGAGCCACCGCACCCGACCTAATTAACACAGTTTTAATTCCAGAAGCTCTTCCTCTCACCTTTTATTTATTTAAAAGTAGAATCCTGTTGTCACTGTCAACAATATTTCCTCTTATCTTTCTGAAAATATTATATACTTTTAAATTTCTTCCCCTATTTTCTGCATTGTTGCTGTTTATTCATGTTTATTTTGTGTATTTGTCTTGAGTTCTGCCTTGAGGTTGAAAGTTGTCCTCAAATGTGTACTTATACTCAGCTGCCTATGTTTGAAATGAGGCTCCAAAAAGCTGACAGACGCCAGATGCCTGGCGGGAGTCCTGACTGTTGGAGTTTATTCAGGCTGGTTGGGTGGGTAACCCCAAGGGCCAGTATGGGCTGCTCAACTTCTCCAGTGAGCACCCTTGGATTCCTGAATTCTTGAATTCCTTTGTTGGAAAGGCCTGGGTTGAAGGCATTCTAGAAGCTTGAAAGAAAAAGGAGTTGGGAATTCTCTCCATTCCACATACAGGCTTTGACTTGACTCCTTATCTTCTGTGTTGGTCTCTCCCCACCTGCCCCTGTATCAGGTTTCTGTATGTCCAGCCCCATCTTCCAGTGGGTGGGGGTGAGTTAATCATCTGGCTGGGCCAGGTGAGAGTGGAAATCCCTCCCATGGACGTCTGCACTGCCCCAAGCCCCTCCTGAGCCCCCTGGACTCCGTGTCCTCTGCAGGAACTCGGGTCTGGCTGCGTTAGCTCTAACTCAGTTATCTCACCCTCAGCAGTTTTCTTCTTCCATGTTTATGGACCACCTCATCCACTGTTGTCTCCTTTCCTATTCCCTCTGACCTCATGGCTTTATACCTTTTTATTCATTTACTTTCATTTTAGGGGAGGGATTAAAAATCAACTTATGCACATCACATGGTGTATGCACAGTATTTTGGCCTCAGGCCAAATGAGACCCAATGATGAGTCTCAAACACATGCTCTGAATTCTAGGCAGTGACTGTTAGACCTGCAAGGTCATGGCCTTGACCAGGTAACTCTTTTCAACTGCAAACTACAGGAGATGTGAGTTTTCTCCCAGCTCTTGAACCCTCTTTATGGTGGAGCAGCACATACTACCCACACAGCCAAGCCTTCAAGAGAAAGAAGGTGGCATTGCTACTACAGAAAAAAACAAACTGGGGTCAGCAGATAGAATCTGGGTTTTCAGTTATCCAATTATTAAATTTATCACCAAGGACAAGACAATGGGTAGGATAATCAACTACTAAGGTGTTTGTGTGGCTGTGTCTTATAAACTCAAGAGTGTCTGGTGGATACAAGCATGACCGTCACTGTCGTTTGGCAGGCATATCCTGTGGCCCATGACGACTTACCTTTACCTCCTTCTCAATATAGTCGCTCAGCAGTCTGTCTGGCTCGACGCGCTCAGGCAATGACAACACCACAGTGTGCAGAGGGCGCCTCTCTGTCACCTTCTCATGGGCTTTCTTATCTCTACTCTTTTCACCTTTTAGGAATACTCGTTTAAATGGCGAGACAATTCCAGGCTGCAGGCAGAAATGGCAATGATTGGAGTTCATTATTTACAAATGCTTTGTGTTGCACCTATGGTTAACAAACAGAAGTAGCCAAAACTACTACCATGGTCCCCATGCAACAGGGATCAGGGATCACTGACTGCCAGACTGGTGAGAAAGGTACCAACAGCACACAAGCCTGAGGAACCCCAGCCAACACGCAGGCCGGCAGGGTGCGGCTGGGCTGCCATGCAGCCTCTGGCGTGGAGGGGCCCTGTTCTTCACCTGTTCGTACAACACATAGAAGGCAGGTAACCTTATCTGGCAAGACAATGACAGAAGGGGGAGATTCCCCACAGAAGATAAAACATAACATCATTCCAACTCTTTCCAGTTCAGCTGGACCCTTCATCTCTGAGAACTCCGGGAAGGCAGGTGGAAGGTGTGGTCAGTGCTGGCATCAACAAGTTAAGCATCTCAACAGCCAAGGCTGAGCACATTCTACAGAAGCACATTTCTTAATGGCTTAATGGGGCACATGTTTTTAATGCAATTCCTGCCCCAATGGGGACCTCATGACTCCAAGTGGGGACACTGAGCATGATGAGCTCCAATGCAGATCAACAAGGGAGAAACCAGGCCGGGCACGGTGGCTCATGCCTGTAATCCCAGCACTTTGGGAGGCTGAGGGAGGCACATCACTTAAGGTCAGGAGTTCGAGACCAGCCTGGCCAACATGATGAAACCCTGTCTCTACTAAAAATACAAAAATTAGCCAGGTGTGGTGGCACATGTCTGTAATCCCAGCTTCTCGGGTGGCTGAGACAGAAGAATTGCTTGAACCCAGGAGGCAAAGGTTGCAGTGAGCCGAGATGCCACTGCACTCCAGCCTGGGCAACAGAGCAAGATAGTGTCTCAAAAAAAAAAAAAAAAAAAAAGTTGCGGGGGAGAAGCTCTGATCAGCAGCTGGCCAGCCCCTAACTTTGATGACCTCACACCCTATCCAGCATCTCATGAGGGTTTTGAAGGCTAATCCTGCAATCAAAGTCACCTTAAAGCGTGAGAATGAGTGAGAGAGCAAGAGAGGATTACAGCAAGCCTCACCTGCACAACCCAGGAAAAGACCTGACACTTCCTTCACAGCAACTCCATAAGAAAGCTTTTCATCACCACCTTTGACAATGGTGCCGGGTTGGGGGGCTGGGGGGCGAAGCAAACCCAAATCGTGCTGAGAGATCATGCTACAATCCCCATCTACAGTCACCCAAAGGAACATAAACCTGAGAAAACAAGACACTGATGTGCAGCCGCAGCAAGGAAACATCACACAGGCCTGCAAAAACCAGAGCCGTGACTAAGAGTGAGAACTTATTCCCCACTGTCTTCTCCATAACTCTCAACAGAGGAAATGCAGGAAGAGATGACAACACTCCTTCTGCAGGTGCCTGCCAGGATGTGGTGACCCAATGCACAGATGGCAGCCAAAACCCCCACAGTAGTCCCAGCTCAGACCCCCCTTATCACCAAACACAGAAACAAACAAAACATATATACAATAAATCACCAACCTTTCATTAAAAGTTCTCATTTCTGTCTCTCTCCAGCATATGGGAAATTCACCCATATACCAAATCCAATATAAAATAGTATAGCAGAACCTGTGGTCCTATAAGGACACCTCCTCAAAACCAGTTTCACAGATGGACAATCACAGCCAAGGACTACACTGTTCAGTAACCACTCCTGACAAAGGCAGAAATCAGTCAACCAGTGGCTCCCAGCAGGCCCTGCAGCTGCTTCCCTAACGAGGTTGGGGTTGGACCCTGCCCTGTATGAGCCCCTCCCCACCACCATCACACTCAGCTCTCCAGAATTAGGGGGAAAAAATAAACAAGCAAAGGCCACCCCAAAGAAAACAAATCCTCAAAAAGCAAAACCCAACATTTTTCCTGACCCTGCTGCCTCCTGACAGCCAAGGCGAGCTTTCTGTTCCTCAGCTTCCTCCTTACCCTTCTTTATTTCACCCTTTCAGAGCTAGGTTTTTATTGCATTCACCCACTAAAACAGATATGGAATCAGGAGGCTCTTTCAACAAAAACAAAAACAAAAACACAACAAAGTCTTGCTTCCAGAGAAGTGCACTAATGCTGCCACCACACCTCTGTCACTCTGTCCCCTGTGTTTCCTGCATCTCATGTACCCTTTGCCAGCTCTCTTTCTTCTGCTAGTAAATACAGATATTCTTCAGGTCTTAGGCATGACCTCTGCTCCGGCATGCATTGGGCTGCACCACTTACTAAGCAAACTCTCACCATCTGCACAACAGGCTAACAATCCTTAGAGAAGTGCCACAGGCAATCAATACAGTAATCTACATAAAGCTCTGAGCACATGTCTGATATGTTGTGAACAAACAAAATATACAGCAGTTAATTTTATGACTGTATTTACCTTGACAATAAGTTAAAATTCATCTCTTCTTCCATTGCTGTCTATATATATATATATATATAAAATCAGACTGTCTCCTACACATCATGACCACAGACTAGATAATAAAGTTGGAGCAGTATCCCAGCCTAAGCTCTATATTCATGCCCCCACCAGGGGACACATCTGTGACCCAGGCTTAAAGCCCTATAATCTGCTAAAATGCTTCCTCCCTCACTTGGGCTGACTGGACCCAGCCCTGCATCTGCCTTCTTCACCTGGAATAGCTCCCCTCGCCTGACCTGGAATAGTCTTCCCTTGACCCAGAGTGGTTCCCCATTGACCCGGAATAGTCCCCCATCTACCTGAACTAGTCCTCTCATAGACCCAGAGTAGTCCCCCGTTGATCAGGAGAAGTCTCCCCTTTGACCTGGAATAGGCCCCCTCCCAGGTCCCATTCTCTGCTGTTCAGCACAACCTGTGGTGGGGGAAGAGTATGGAGTAAGGATGACTAAAGGTCCTCAGAGTTGGTAACAGTTGGAGCCAGATGATATATACAGTAGCTTTGTTTACTTTTCTTTGTATATATTTTTAATATTTGAATTTTAAAATATTTTTTGAAAAGGATGAATATTTTCTGCTTCCTGCTGATTACACTTAAACTGAGGCAAAATACAAAAGCATAAAAAATTAAGATCGCCAATATCCTTACAAGATGATCCTCTCTAAGATGAACCACAGAGGCGACAGAAAGTGCTCCCAGGCTGGGTGCAGTGGCTCACGCCTATAATCCCAGCACTTTTGGGAGGCCAAGGTGGGTGGACTGCTGAGCTTAGGGGTTCGAGACCAGCCCGGGCAACCTGGTGGGACCCCATCTCTATAAAAACTACAAAAATTAGCCAGCTATGGTGGTTCATGCATGTAGTACCAGCTACTTGGGAGGCTGAGGCAGGAGGTTGCTTGAGCCCAGTAGGTCAAGGCTGCAGTGAGTTGTGATCATGCCACTGCACTCCAGCCTGGGCGACAGAGTGAGACCTTGTCTCAAGAAAAATAAAAACTTTTTAAAAAGTGCTTCCAGAAGCTGGGTGCTGTGGCTCACACCTGTAATCCCAGGACTTTGGGAGGGTGAGGAGGCAGATCACTTGAGGTCAGGAGTTCGAGACCAGCCTGGCCAAGATGGTGAAACTCCATTTCTACTAAAAATACCAAAAATTAGTTGTGGTGGCAGGCGCCTGTAATCCCAGCTACTCCGGAGGCTGAGACAGGAGAATCATTTGAACCAGAGAAGCGGAGGTTGCAGTGAGCTGAGATTGTGCCACTGCACTCCAGCCTGGGCAATGAGAGTGAAACTCCATCTCAAAAATAAAAAAAAAAAGGCCAAGCATGGTGGCTCAGGCCTACAATCCCAGCACTTTGGGAGGCCAAGGCTGGCAGATCACTTGAGGTCAGGAGTTTGAGACCAGCCTGGCCAAGATGGTGAAACGCCATCTCTACTTAAAATACCAAAAATTAGCTGGGCGTAGTGGCAGGTAACTGTAATCCCAGCTACTCAAGAGGCTAAGACAGAAGAATCCCTTGAATCCGGGAGGCAGAGGTTGCAGTGAGCTGAGATTGCACCATTGTACTCCAGCCTGGGCAACAAGAGCCAAACTCCGTTTCAAAAAAAAAAAAAAGAAAAGAAAAGAAAAAAGAAAAAGTGTTTCCAGGAGAGCTTGCTGGGACTGGCCTGGGCTCAGAAAGCATATGGCCTTGTGCTGCCCAGGCCCTGGCTCTATGACAGCAGTGAAGACAGGATGTCCCTGAGGCACTTTCAGGCTTCATTCTCCTTAATCCCTGACAAGCTTTGAGCCCCAGGACAAGTTTGGGTATGACAGGTAGTTTGCAGTGTGGGGTTCTCATGGGAGAATGGTGGGAAATGGTCACCTATGATTTGTCAGCCAAGAAATCATGGTAAACTGTAAGTTAAAAATGGCCCTTAAAATTTAGTGGTGCAATTTTAGCCATGCAAAAAATCATGTTTCTCTAGCCTCACTAAAAGCACACCAGGCTTTGCTTGCCTGTGATTTCCTCTCTGCTGGCATCCCCAGGTGACCAGATGGCACATGAATTATTTTTCAAATGTGTATGCTTGACCACTCACTTATTCTCCCAGGCCCTATGATGTGCAAGACCCTGGCCTGGAGGTTATGGAAATACAGAGGCATGTGGCCCATGAGCCCAGCTTTTCAGAAGCTTGCATCTCCACAGACATGGATAATCTCACATCAGCCACAGGAAAATGGCTGTCCCTAAACCATTTCTGCCTGCTAGCCCCCAAAGCTCATTCCTAAATGATAACTAGCTGTGTCATGGACAGTGACTGAGCTCTGAATCTGACAGTGCGGGCAAGCAGTCTGGCTCCATTTGTTGGCTCTTCTCAAAGCTGTCTGTTAGCCAAACTAGTTACTAACCTACCTACGGGAGCAACAGGAAACCAACTCTGAGACAGGAGATTTGCCAAGATCAACCTCTAACCAAGAAGCCCACACCAAATCAACAGGTCCCACAAACCTCATGCAACCTACACTGTTATTTTAATGTTGATGTACAGGTCATAAAAT